GCAGCGGCGCCGAGCCAAGCGCACGTCAGAAACAAAGGATCTCATTGGTCTGTCACTGCTTGTCAATGTCAGAATATTTGAGATGACCAATCAAATCAAAGTAGGCGGGCTTAATGTTCACAGAAGCTGCTGTGCGCGAATTTTAGCAGAGCGACTCGACGCTTCAGTTTACGGTCAAGTGCGAGTTAAGATGTAGGCCTAAGTAGCTAAACTAAACATTTTATACACTCACCGGCCACTTTATTAGGTACCCCATGCTAGTAACGGGTTGGACCCCCTTTTGCCTTCAGAACTGCCTCAATTCTTCGTGGCATAGATTCAACAAGGTGCTGGAAGCATTCCTCAGGGAGTTTGGTCCATATTGACATGATAGCATCACACAGTTGCCGCAGATTTGTCGGCTGCACATCCATGATGCGAATCTCCCGTTCCACCACATCCCAAAGATGCTCTATTGGGTTGAGATCTGGTGACTGTGGAGGCCATTTTAGTACAGTGAACTCATTGTCATGTTCAAGAAACCAATTTGAAATGATTAGAGCTTTGTGACATGGTGGAAGTAGCCATCAGAGGATGGGTACATGGTGGCCATAAAGGGATGGACATGGTCAGAAACAATGCTCAGGTAGGCCGTGGCATTTAAACGATGCCCAATTGGCACTAAGGGGCCTAAAGTGTGCCAGGAAAACATCCCCCACACCATTACACCACCACCACCAGCCTGCACAGTGGTAACAAGGCATGATGGTTCCATGTTCTCATTCTGTTTACGCCAAATTCTGACTCTAACATCTGAATGTCTCAACAGAAATCGAGACTCATCAGACCAGGCAACATTTTTCCAGTCTTCAACTGTTCAATTTTGGTGAGCTCTTGCAAATTGTAGCCTCTTTTTCCTATTTGTAGTGGAGATGAGTGGTACCCGGTGGAGTCTTCTGCTGTTGTAGCCCATCCGCCTCAAGGTTGTGCGTGTTGTGGCTTCACAAATGCTTTGCTGCATACCTCGGTTGTAACGAGTGGTTATTTCAGTCACTGTTGCCCTTCTATCAGCTCGAACCAGTCTGGCCATTCTCCTCTGACCTCTGGCATCAACAAGGCATTTCCACCCACAGAACTGCCGCTCACTGGATGTTTTTTCTTTTTCGGACCATTCTCTGTAAACCCTAGAGATGGTTGTGCGTGAAAATCCCAGTAGATTAGCAGTTTCTGAAATACTCAGACCAGCCCTTCTGGCACCAACAATCATGCCACGTTCAAAGTCACTCAAATCAACTTTCTTCCCCATACTGATGCTTGGTTTGAACTGCAGGAGATTGTCTTGACCATGTCTACATGCCTAAATGCACTGAGTTGCCGCCATGTGATTGGCTGCTTAGAAATTAAGTGTTAACGAGCAGTTGGACAGGTGTACCTAATAAAGTGGCCGGTGAGTGTAATTGACCGTTTTTTAGGTCATAAATGTTAAACGAATGGCAAAAATAATCAGGCAAACTAATAAACTTTTGTCTAATTTCGCCATTTTGAACTGAAAATTGGCCTATGTACCGTGACTCATGTAATATAGCCTAATAACTAGTTTACTGTGATTGTGAGGGTCCAGGACACATTAACAAAGCCGTTTGCATCATGTTAGGCACGAGATTAATAATGAATTTGTACATATTGAGAATTGATATAATACAAGTTGTAGCCTTCAGTAAATTAAAAAATCTCAGCTTTAGAAGGGGAAGAGACAAGGCAAGATGAGCAGACTGAGAGAAAAGAAAGGGCGATGGAGAGAGCAGGTATTGACAGATAATCTACTTCCCGGTCACATGGTTTTAAAGCTATTTCTTATCTTTTTTTTTTTTTTTTTTTTTTTTTTTAAACATCTTGAAATACACATATCAGAGAAAGAAAAAAATGTAACCCCCAAATGGAGTGACGTCACCAGTCGAAATAGCTGTACCCCCCGAAACTCACGGTATAATTCAAACACTGGCCGCCGCTATATCATCCAGTTCGGTAGGTGGCGCAGTCATAAAAAAACTAGGGTCCTGGAACTAGGGTCCTGCAACTGGGGTCCTGGAACTGGGGTCCTGAAACTGGGGTCCTGGAACTGGGGTCCTGGAACTGGGGTCCTGAAACTGGGGTCCTGGAACTGGGGTCCTGGAACTGGGGTCCTGAAACTGGGGTCCTGGAACTGGGGTCCTGGAACTGGGGTCCTGGAACTGGGGTCCTGGAACTGGGGTCCTGGAACTGGGGTCTTGCAACTGGGGTCCTGGAACTGGGGTCCTGGAACTGGGGTCCTGGAACTGGGGTCCTAGAACTGGGGTCCTGAAACTGGGGTCCTAGAACTGGGGTCCTGAAACTGGGGTCCTAGAACTGGGGTCCGGAAACTGGGGTCCTGAAACTGGTGTCCTAGAACTGGGGTCCTAGAACTGGGGTCCTGGAACTGAGGTCCTGAAACTGGGGTCCTGAAACTGGGGTCCTGAAACTGGGGTCCTGAAACTGGGGTCCTAGAACTGGGGTCCTGAAACTGGGGTCCTAGAACTGGGGTCCTGAAACTGGGGTCCTGAAACTGGTGTCCTAGAACTGGGGTCCTGAAACTGGGGTCCTGGAACTGGGGTCCTGAAACTGGGGTACTGAAACTGGGGTCCTGAAACTGGGGTCCTGAAACTGGGGTCCTAGAACTGGGGTCCTGAAACTGGGGTCCTAGAACTGGGGTCCTGAAACTGGGGTCCTGAAACTGGGGTCCTAGAACTGGGGTCCTGAAACTGGGGTCCTGAAACTGGGGTCCTGGAACTGGGGTCCTGGAACTGGGGTCCTGGAACTGGGGTCCTGGAACTGCAGCCTCCGGTTGTGCAGGAACACACTACTGAGTTTTTACGTCAATCCGTGTTTTCACTGTTATACGATAGAGGGCGCTGTTACGCATCTTCTGAAAGACTACTGAATCTCCGGATCCAAAAACAATTGGAGAAAATGATCTGCATAAACCAGAAGGAGCTGATAGAAGATGTTTATGCACAATTAAGCTAACATGATCATCAAACATTCAACAGCAAATCAAAACCGCCTAATGATACCGAGGAAGAGCTGACGACTGTGAAGCTTTGGGGGAGTTGATGGACTTCATCTACTTGATCTATGATTTGATCATTGTTCTGACATTTAAGTGTTGATACAAAAGAATAAAGCTAAAATAAAAATAGCAGAGCCTCTGTTCTTTCTTTTGATATATTGACTGCTTACATATTCATACAAAAAAATATTGTGGAGGCCATGAAAGTTTTGTGAATATGATAAAAAAATGCTGGGAACTTAAAACTAAAACACTGGCAGGGAGAGTTAGTTGCAATGCATTCTGGGATTGAAGGATACAAACAGAATTTGGTTAAAGCAGAGAGCATTAAAATGCAGTTTTGGTAGGCAGCTCAATATGTTTTGGAAAAGCAAGTGTGTTATTGTCAGTATCGACAAAGTGAACTTATGAGTACAAGACCTCTTTTATATATTACATTTTTAATGTTGTAATGCAAAAATGTTAAATAATGTATTGTAATATATACTGTGTGTGTGTATATATATATATATATATATATATACACACAAACACAAACCAGTTAAATATAATGTATAATTCATATAATTCAACTGGTTTGTGGATGTTGCTAACTAATTAGTCTAGTTGATTGAACAGGATCTTTGGGAGAGTATCTGCAATGTGTATGTTGCTGTAAAGTTGTACAAAACCCCCCAAATACAAATATTTCTAGAAGAATTGAATTTGTTCACATGATGCTGGGAATTCACACTCCAGACCTCCCACTGCGGAGGCTTACAAAGCACAACAATACACACAATCAATGGTTCACGCAGACTAAAGAAGAGCCTGGAAGCATGGGAACACACTCACCTCTGTAGACTATCAGTGTGGAAAGAGATCCGGACAGAAATGGAGGCTGTTTTCTTAAAGAGCAACGTGTGGTTCACACTCTGTTCTGTTAACATCATAAATGCACTATATATGCACTATACCACATCATACAATAAGAAATAGATCCACATTCTCCAAAGCTTTATTCTTTATTCAATCACAAAATCGGAACTAACTAATATATATTGAAATGAGGCCGTATGATGTGAACTCTTGAGTGTGTGTGTGTGTGTGTGTGTGTGGCTCAGGCCGGTCTGAGCTGTCACAGTTAATCATAGCTCTCCTCTCTTCTCTCCACACCTGACTGAGTGTGTCTTGCTGTTCCCTCGACGGTTTCACCTGCCCACTCGACCCCGCCGCCCTGTCAAGGTCAGTCCCTGTACGTCCAGTGTCAAGCACAACTTTAACAGAGCGCACACTGTTCTCTAGCAACTCACACACCTCCTCTCCTCAGAGACCCCACTGTAGTTTCAGAAGAAACAAACTGAGGTATGACAAGGCAAGATTCAAGATAAAGTTTTTCACAACTTTTGCTGGTAAATGAAACGCAATGTGCTGTGATTCACAGCAAGCAATACATATTGTATATTGTATTCATATCATACACATTTTCAATGGAGGGACAGAAAGCTCCCGGACTAAATCTAAAATATCTTAAACTGTGTTCTGAAGATGAACGGAGGTCTTACAGGCTTGGAGCGACATGAGGGAGAGTCATTAATGACATAATTTCATTTTTGGGTGAACTAACCCTTTAATTCTCCTTTTTAAAATATCTCTCATATCCGTTTTGCCTCCATTGCTGTTTAAACAAGTGGACCCCACAATTGCATAGCTTAATGAGAGTCCGCAAATCAGTGCCTCGTGAAAGATTAAGCTTTAAACGCATTAATTTTCCATCATTAGTGATTTACCTCATCCACCCGCAATTAATTGGAAAGTAAATCCACGGATATAACCACGATCCACGCATCACTAGTGGACAGACACTGAACTTGTCTATGGAAGCTTGTCACATTGCATCTAGTTAGGACGCAGTGTTAGAGTTCAACACAACTGTGTGCACTGGCGTGTAACTCACTGGTCCTGAGGGCTGATGGCGTGACCTCGATCTCGCTGCTGGTCTGGTAGGGCTGGAAGGCGGACAGGTTGCTGGAGTTGAGCTCAGTCGTGTTGAAGAGTTCGGGACTCTGGGTTCCCGTGGAGCTGGCGCTGGTGCCGTCACCTCCATGATGAGGATCCTGCTCCTCATACACCACCACCAGCTGCGGGACAGAGAGACAATATTGTGTTAGTTATGCTGCTTGATCTATTTGACATAACTATAGGCAAATAAAAAAAGGCTATCTAAATATCGATGGACAGATATCTATCCATCCATCCATCCATGCACCATTAGTACTTTTAGGCCCGGTTTACATGTGGTATTAAGATACGTTTTGATCAATCGGATCGCAAGTGGACGACACTAAATACAGGTGTAAACTGGCTGGGTGTAAAACGTTTTGAGCTTGTCCACTTTTGACCACTTCCAGAGGTTGTTGAAAACACATTCGACCGGATTGATTTCGTAGTGTAAACGCTCATGTGGATGAATGTGTCCAAACAGCCACAGAACATCGTCTGCTCTCCGTCTACTGATATAATGAGTAAACATTATGGGAACGTACCAAGCACAATGTTATCTCACCATTCCTGATTTCTAACACACACTCACAGCGTCCGGCTGATCTTGAGACTGTCCGAGCAGAAACTAAAGCTGATGCTCTCCGTGTGTTTTTCCGCCGTCTCCGGACATGTTCAGATGTAAATTGTGCAAGCTTATTTTGTCCATTAGATCGAAAGATCTGAAAAAACACATACATTTCCCCCCCATAAACACCACCCTCGAAAAAAATCAGGACAGAAGTGGATGAGACGGATTAAAACACCAGGTGTAAAGAGGGCCATAGATGTATAAACCGGAGCATATAATGAAATAACTCAGGATTTCTGACCATTTGTCAGAAAGCAGAATAAAACAGTACTCCCCACACACACACACACACATTTTTTATCTTAAATTTTGTTCAGATTTACAAGATATGAAAGTCTGCGGTTCAAAAATTGGTTATATAAAATAAAAAGAAACAGCAAAAAATCTATCCACCTTCATGCATAGCTCTATACTCCTGCTGTGCTGTATGTCAACAGTCTCATTTCTGTCTATTTTTATTTCTCTCATGCAAAATGAAACAACAGAAAGTCTCCAGAGCTATGAAAGAGCAATACAATATTCCTCTGGGTCGACTCCTATTCTGAGAGAAAGTGAGAAATGATGACATTTGAAAAGAATGCGTTTGAGCACATGCGCTGTGGAAAACGGTTCGGAGACACACACCCCCGCAATGCTGCAAAGAGGAGCGAATTGCATCGAGGAGGGTAATTCATCAGCTTTTGTCCTGATTTCTGCCGACATTAACTGTTCACACATCCACCGGAATAAATGAAACCAGCCAGTCACATGCAGGCGTCCGACAGGCCAACACAGAGACGCTATTGTGTGAAGCAGCTTGAGTCTGTTGATTTGTAAACGATGGCGTTCTCGTTCGCATTCGGCTATTTACTCCAGAACTGTGACCGGAGGGGTTTAGTTACAATTTTTCTACTGTCCTTCTCGTTCATGCTCTGATTTTAACACGCTTTATGATTAGCCTAATTCAAACTGACTTCTCATTTGTTTCTTTGGCCCAATTAAAGCATGTCAAATAAATGCCCTTAAGACGATCCAGGCAGTGCGCTGACAGACTGCTTATCGCCATGACCATTACTCGTCTCGCTACAGAGACCGCATTACTGAGACTCGCTCGGCTCGCTCTCTTGCAGTTGGAAAGATTGCAGTTTTTGGAGACCAAACAGACTTTAGGAAATAAAGAGAACTAGACATTTTTCAGAGTGTCTATTAACACCGAGTGCAAATACCCCACCTGGTTGGCAAAGGCTATTTTCACTCCTATATAAACTCGGCAAACCAATTTTGTGTGATTGAGCCGGACACAATTTCAAAAGAAACCCATGTGATAACCGGATCATTGGAGAGTAAGGCTTTAGGTTTTGACGCGACCAACCCGAGTTCGAATCTGTCTTTTTCTAAACTCATTCATATCCCTTTTCACCTTTATCAGCTTAATAAAAATTAAGAAGATATTTGCTAAATAATAGGGGAGGGCTTTAAGGGTGGAGACAAGTAATGTCCCAACACTCAATATGTTTTATAATATACTACAATAAGGTGCAAATCGCACCTTACAACTATTTACACTAGTGCCAAGAAAACTATTCAAGCCGCTTTATTTGTAAAGCATGTTGCTGGTTTGAAAAAGATTAGCAAATTCAAGTGACTAAAATAGCTGAGAAAATATGATTCCATGAGCCTAATAATAATTAGTAAGTTCTTGACACAAATCTCTTTAGCATCATCGGCTTTCATCCAGTTGTTCTTGACTGACAGGTCTTTGTTTTAGATGCATGTCTGTTTGCTAATTGTGTGACTCAATTGCTTTTGCGCGCACACTCCTCAACTGGAGAGCTGCCACGCAAACAAGCTCACACTCACTTCAGCGTGCACTTGTAATCAAACGGGGTATTTGTTTATAAATCGCACAGTATTTATGGGGACTTAAGAGGCCTGTCTTTAGGCCTAAATGCACTGAAGCTCCATGAATAGGCAGTAAACTGCAGTTTTATCTGGCAGCTCCAGCTCTTGGCTGTTTCAAGAGTCCTCACGGGTCAGATCAGTCCTCGCAGAGAGGGAGATAATGACAAAAACACTGCTTTTCAGAGGGTATAAGAAATGACCACAATTTCCATTTCTGCACAGTAGCTTCAGGTGGCCATAGGAAGATCCAGATCTCTCCTGGTAAAGGTCAGTCCAATCAACGGAATAAGAATCCGTGAATAAGAAACAGAATGAGTAGTTTCACAACTTCATTTTCAGTAGATGCAAATCTACGGAAGCGTATTGCATTCACTTGAAGAAAAAAAATCTACTCTGTTTTTCTGAATTAACGAGTTAATTTTCTCAGAATTACAAGATATTTTCATGAAAAAAAGTTTTTGCTCTGTTTTTCTAAATTAACGAGTTAATTATCTCAGAATTACAAGATATGTTCATGAAAAAGTTTTTGCTTTGTTTTTCTAAATTAACGAGTTAATTTTCTCAGAATTACAAGATATTTTTCATGAAAAAAAGTATTTGCTCTGTTTTTCTGAATTAACGAGTTAATTATCTCAGAATTACAAGATATGTTCATGAAAAAGTTTTTGCTCTGTTTTTCTGAATTAACGAGTTCATTTTCTCAGAATTACGAGATCATTTTTCATGAAAAAAAGTTTTTGCTCTGTTTTTCTGAATTAACGAGTTAATTATCTCAGAATTACAAGATATGTTCATGAAAAAGTTTTTGCTCTGTTTTTCTGAATTAACGAGTTAATTTTCTCAGAATTACAAGATATTTTTCATGAAAAAAAGTTTTTGCTCTGTTTTTCTGAATTAACGAGTTAATTATCTCAGAATTACAAGATATGTTCATGAAAAAGTTTTTGCTCTGTTTTTCTGAATTAACGAGTTAATTATCTCAGAATTACAAGATATGTTCACGAAAAAGTTTTTGCTCTGTTTTTCTGAATTAACGAGTTAATTTTCTCAGAATTACGAGATCATTTTTCATGAAAAAAAGTTTTTGCTCTGTTTTTCTGAATTAATGAGTTAATTTTCTCAGAATTACAAGATATTTTTCATGAAAAAAAGTTTTTGCTCTGATTTTCTGAATTAACGAGATAATTATCTCAGAATTACGAGATCATTTTTCATGGAAAAAAAGTTTTTGCTCTGTTTTTCTGAATTAACGAGATAATTATCTCAGAATTATGAGATACATTTTTCTTGAAAAACATTTTTTCACTGTTTTTATGAATTAACGAGCTACTCATAATTTTGAGATAATTAAGTCATTAATTCAGAAAAACAGAGCAAAAACTTTTTTCCATGAAAAATTATCTCGTAATTCTGAGATAATGAACTCGTTAATTCTGAAAAACAGAGTAGATTTTTTTTCCCTCAAGTGAATGCAATACGCTTCCGTACAAATCTACTGGAATCGAACACAATTCAAAATCTATAGACCGCGAGTCAGAAAAATGTGAATAAGTATAGGTTTTAAAAATAATAATATCAGTAGATTCAGAATCAGAAGATTTTTGGAATTAGAATCATACAATTCGAAATCAGTAGACTGAGAATCAGAAGAAATCATGGTTGAATGAAATCATTAAGTTCAAAATAAGTTCATTGAGAATCTGAAATCACAATATACTACATAAATTTAAACTCAGAATCAATAATTAACAATCAGAAGAATCAAAAAAATATTCTAAAGATGTTGATTCAGAATCAGAATCAAATTCTAGTTCTGTACCACGCACAAATGCATTCTTTAATCATTTAATTTTTATTTATTTGTTTATTTGATAGGGACCATGCATATTCATGAACATTGTTGTATGACACCATCATTGTTGTATGATACACCATGTAAATATGCCAGAATTAGTGAAAATATACTACTTTTCATCTGCAGTCCCTAGGCCAATCTAATCTAATCATTAATAATCTGTTATTGGTGTGTAGTAATAGCTAACACTATATCAGACACTATATATACAATTGAAGAATGTACAAATTGTAGCAAAGGGTTGCATTGTATGTGCAATTGTTGGACTATTGTTGGAAAACTCACTTAACAGTTAAACCAACACTCATTTTTATTCCTATCAAATACAGAAAAAAGTCCAGCATGTGTCTCACATCCATGACAGTCTTCTTTGTGCTTTTAGAGAAAAACATAACTTAAAAAAGGACTGATAATAAAGTTTAGTGTGACCTTCATAGAAGAAGCGCTCCAGTCTGAGGCAAAGAGATTGTGGGGTTTGAGAAGCATCCACAGGCCTGTTATCTCAAGTGCACAAACTGTTCAAGGTGTCTGTGCTACAGGCCCAGTTTATTTCTGCTCTATCACAAATGTGCAATACAACACTTGCTTCAATTTTCTTCCTTCATTGTTGTTTCTGTATATGGACATAAGAAGATAAGAATGGACGTGTCCTGCCAGAAACAGAGACTGTTTGTCTGCACTGTTTTGAAATGCTAATGATGGTTACAAATAAACCGGTGACAAATATGGGATGACGGATCAGTGTCGTGTTTTGGTGAGAGACGTCAGTGACA